AACCCAACAGAATCCTGGACGCGCAGTACCAGAAAGTGACTCCGGAGCAGGTTGCAGACCAGCAGGAGCACATGAATCATACAGGAAGACTAGCATTCACAGAGATGCTAGCCAAACACACGGAGCTGTTTGATGGCAAATTAGGCAGATATCCACATGAAAAGATCCACATCGATCTCGAAGATGATGCCGAACCAGTTTACATACGACCATACCCAGTTCCCTATCGACACGAGGATGTCTTCAAACGGGAATGCCAGCATCTTGTTGATGAAGGAGTGATTGCTCCCACTGGTAATTCAGAATGGGGCTTCCCAGCCTTTATCATTCCAAAGAAGGACAGCCGCGTTCGATGGCTTGTCGATCTAAGTGAGTTAAACAAGAGGATCAAGAGACCTCAGTTCAATCTCCCCAAAATCCAAGACATCATGAATCGAAGAACACTATACGACCATTTCACTAAGATTGATCTCTCAATAATGTTCTATTGCTTTGAATTGGATGAAGAGAGCCAAAAGATTTGCACTCTCACTACCACACAAGGCAACTACAGATGCCTCAGATTGCCCATGGGCCTCAAGTCGTCTCCAGACTATGCACAGGCCTTCATCACAAAGATCCTGTCTGGTTTGGATGTTGAGGTCTATATTGATGATATGGGGATTTGGTCCTGAGGACCATTTGGCAAACACCTGTCTTTAGTTGACCCAGTTCTAAAACGGTTAGCATCCAATGGAATGAAATGCAATCCACTCAAGTGTGAGTGGGCAGTGAAAGAGTCTGATTTCMTTGGCTTTTGGCTCACGCCTACTGGAGTCAAGCCATGGCAAAAGAAAGTGGATGGGATCCTAMAGATGGGAGTTCCACAAAACCAATCACAGGTCAGGTCCTTCCTGGGTGCAGTCAATTATTACAAATCTATGTGGCCTTGGCGATCACATGTGTTGGCTCCACTAACTGCACTCACTGGCTCAGGGCCCTACGTATGGACGCCAGCATGTAATCAAGCCTTTCAAGAGATGAAAGCTCTTCTCGCACATGATGCTATCAACACCTTTGCTGATCTGAATAAGCCCTTTCACATTTACACCGACGCTTCTGATTATCAGCTCAGAGCTGCAATCCTACAAAGTCACAAACCTATTGCATATTGGTCAAAGAAGCTCAACAAGACCCAAATGAACTACACCACAATGGAGAAAGAGCTACTCGCTATCATCCTGTGCCTCAAAGAATACCGAAATATGCTCTACGGGGGCAAAATCTACATCTACACCGATCATAAGAACCTTATATTCAGGACGTTGTCCCAGTCCCGGGTTCTCAGGTGGAAGCTAAGCCTGGAAGGCTTCGATATTAACTGGGAATATATTCCAGGCAAGAAAAATGTTCTGGCAGATTGTTTTTCCCGAGTGCCCAGAATGGATCCGTGCACTGTGGGGGACAAAGAACAGAAAATATATGAAAAGAGTAAAGGAACAGTTGTGAATTTTAAAGAGTTGGTCGCTCAAGAGGATCCAGAGGATGTATTTTACCTTGAGCCAGAATTACATGAATGCTTGCTCAATTTACCACCGGTGTCAGAAATGGAGAATCCAATCACAAATGCAAGCCTCTACACTTATCAACTCACGGACCCAGAGTGTCAACATCTACTTGAAACGGATCCAACACACTATGTTAAGAGACAGATAGGCACCTTTGAACTACTCACAGTGTCCACGAATGATAATAACTGGAAGATCTACCTGCCTGATGGCTTGGTGGATAAGACCCTCAGATGGTACCACCTACTACTTGGGCATTGTGGCAGCACTCGGCTTTATGAAACTATCAGTGCTAGGTTCTATGCTCCACGACTCAGCCTAAGATGCAAACAGCATCAGGGTCCGGATGAGTGTCACAGATTCAAACAACAAGGACAGGGTCATGGCTTATTACCAGCTCGCGAGGCAAAGCTTGTCCCATGGAATGAAGTATGTGTTGATTTGATTGGCCCCTGGAAAATCCTYCTTCCAGATGAAACAGAATTAGTGATCAATGCACTTACCTGCATTGATCCAGTCACGAACCTATTGGAAATCATCAGAATCAACAACAAATCAAGTGAGCATGTGGCAGAGCAGTTTTCAAACGGTTGGTTGTCAAGATACCCAAGACCTAACAGGTGTATCCATGATAATGGCTCAGAATTCATCGTAGCTCCATTCAAACAGTTACTGAATCAATACGGAATTAAGAGTGTCCAGACAACTGTCAAGAATCCACAAGCAAATGCAGTTTGTGAGAGAGTTCATCAAACAATTGCTAATGTTCTACGAGCCACACTTCATAGCAAGCCTCTTGGGGAAGCAGACTTTGATGAAGACCAACTAATTGACAATGTGCTCGCCTCAGCTATGCATGCTACCAGGTGTGCTGTGAATGCTGCTGTGAAGACATCACCTGGAGCTTTGGTTTTCAATAGAGATATGGTGATGGATATCCTTCTCATTGCAGATTTGAGGCTCATCAGAGATAAAAGACAACACCAGATAGATGAGAACCTCAGGACAGAAAATGCTTGGAGGATACCCTTCAAATATCAGGTCGGGCAACAAGCTTACATGAAACACTATGAACCAGAYAAGCTRTCCCAAAGAYTACATGGTCCTTATCCCATTGTGGAGATCAACACTAATGGAACTGTGGTGTTGCAAAGAAGTGAAAACGTACGTGAGACAGTCAACATCAGGAAGCTTGTGCCTTTCAAAGGAACTGTCGAACACCCATTAATACAGGAGGAAGAACCCCCTGTCGAAAATATTGAAGATATGATTGCTACAGTTTAATAACAATACTGAAGGCAGTATTACTGTTGGGGATAATGCAACAGATACGTACGTACTGTATTGAGAGGATACGTATGTACTAGGAAGGAAGCATACGTACGATACGATGCTCCCTCTGAATGGATGGATATACCATTCCTACCTACATATCATAATGTACTATTAATACATATGCATCATACGATCCATCATGTTGATGATCGTGAGAGGTCTAAGATACTATTCAAGAATACCTCACGAAGAATAGAGATGTCACGAGTCCGGAATAGAGAACCTCCATGTAGATTTCCTACCAGGTCTACATGAAGTTCTAATCAGAACTTCGGAATTCTTGTGAACGCGCTTGGTAATCTTAATCTTATAATTCAATTTCTTATACACTTCAAACACCTACTAAGAGTACACGTAATCTCGTGCAATTCCTCATCTGCTATCCCTTTCTGGTCTGTCATGTATTGCACAATCTGCTCAATGGTGTCACTGAGGATGTCTCTTCCACAACAGTGCAACGGATACGTCATACGATACGAAGCTCCAAAAGGAATGAAGGAACATACCATCCCTACGTACCTATCACAAGGTTTCATTCTTATGTATGTATCGTAGAATCCATCTTATTGAGGATCATAAGAGGTCCAAGATATCATTCGGGAATACCTCACGAAGAACAAAGATGTCAGAAGTCTGGAACGGAGAATCCTCGTGTAGATTCAGTATCAGAACTACACAGGATTCAGATCAGAACTTTGGAACTCTCGTGAACGCGCTGGGTATTCTACAAATAATTCTAATCTTATAATTTCAATTTTCATACACACTTAAACATACTACTAAGAGTACATGTAATCTCGTGCAAACAGATGTAATGGTTCTGCCAAGACTTGGGGAAGGACCTGAAAAGGATCTGCCTGATCTCTCTATCTGATAGCTGTTGTCGGATGCCAAGTGTGTATGAATAATGAAATTATAAGATTAAAGATTATCATACAAGTGCACGATTAGATTCTTATGTTAGATCTGGTACTGAATCTACATGAGGTTCTTACTATTCAATCTTAATCGTACCTCGTATTCTTAGACCTCTTGCTACAGTGGATCAAATGATACATATGTATGAATAGTGCCTTATGATATATAGGTATGATTGGTATGTTCAACTAAACATACTGATTCCATATTATACGTACGTATACTTCCAATACAGTACATACATATCCTTTGCAACCCCTTCCTTCTTTGTCTCCAGTAACAACTTACGCACTTTTTACAAGATGTCTCCACACAAATGGTGACGTTGGTCCCATATCACAATATCAGGTTTTCTGACAACCAAGACATCACGTTCTCCTTGCCACCAGCACCCTAGACTACAACCTCCTCCCTCCCCTCCATCTCTTGCACCATGTTCTACCCAGCCCCAGGAGCTGTCATGACACTTGTTGGCACCAGTGGATGCTCAATCTCATCCCAAGATTGAGGCAGTCCTTCTCTGCAACATTAACTTTAATGGTAACTTCACTGATATCTAAGACACTCTTGCCCACAACATTGGCATCCTTCATGCAGTACACAGTGTCACCACCACCCATTGCGACATTCTACGCTCATGCATCAGAGAACTCCAAGCCAAAAATACATTGGAGGCAGCCTTACCTCAGCCCCGCCAACCTTGGCAAGCCCCAAAAACATTCCCTCCACAGGCTCAGTGGCCAGAAACCCTTACCAACCCCCTGCCCTGATGTGCTCTCCAGAAGTCCTAGATCTCTCACAGTGATGGCACCAGCTCCAACCACTCCAACACCTCCAGCAACCCACACCAAGAACCAGTGGACTCACAAGGACAACACAGTCAGCAGTGTCAATATGTCAACCCGTGAACCCAAGACCATTACACATTTATACATTGAACTAGTAATTACATCAGTCAAACCCTAAATTTGGCAAAGATTCAGAAAGTTGAAATAAGTGACCACTGAGATCTATACAACAATATCAGACCATAGAGGTATGAACATACAGCACCACAGTGTCAAGAGGTCCAGAATGTCCCATGGCACCAGTCCAAGAGCAATAATGGAAGAAGGAAAGACAGGGCTACAATAACTTGGGCTAAGAGCAGTTAGGAACAACTGCCCTTTGCTGTCAAAGCTTTGCATGTGTAAAATGACAACATGTTTTTATCACTTATTTTTCTTCACCACTCACTCTATTAGTAGCCAGAAAAATAGCTGAGCTATTTTTACATCCAAAATTGATATCATATTGAAACCAACAGCATGGCCTCGCAGACGCTTCATCCTGAATTCTGGGGTTACTTCTCTTACATTCAACTTAAATTGCTAAACTCTGTCGTTTTTGACGTTATCACCACTGATGAATTCCATGATTTTTTTGTTATGATAGGTAACTTAGGTTCAATGAAATAATGCATTGGCAGTGGAGAGGTTGGTATTTCAGTGTATGGCTCAGCAGTGAGCTAACGAGATCATATAGGTTTAATATTTAATATTTGTCAGGGATACTCACTTCAACGATACATTAGTGACGTGTGAAATTTATGAATTTTGATGTAGATAGAATTCATTTCTTTTGTGTAGGCTCAAATCCCGCGAGGAAGTCTCTGAGTGAGAGACTTTTATATTCGTCTTGATAGCGTTCGACCAAAGTGTCTATGGTGTTGTCAATATCGAAATCAGTATGAGATGATTTTGCGGAGGAGGCCGATTCACTTCGAAACTGGAAGATATCGAGCAAACAGTCGGTTCCCATACTATACATTGACGAATTGTTGGTATTGATAATAGCGTTACTCATGGCCAGTTTTCGTTCCTGAAGCATCATTGTTTTTTCTTCAATCGAATTCATTGTTACCAGTTGGTACACATGAACGGTTCGTTTCTGCCCAATGCGATGGGCTCGATCCATAGCTTGAAGATCTGAGTGCGGATTCCAATCGTGTTCCAGGAAAATCACTGTGTCTGCACCGGTTATATTCAACCCCAATCCCCCTATTTTGGTCGTCAAGAGCAACAACTTGAAGCTTTCATCGCGGTTAAACTTGTCAACAACAATCGTTCTTTGGGGTACTGGAACTTTGCCATCTAGTCGGAGGTACTTCATGGATGGCATATATCGCTTTATGAGAAGTTCTTCCACAATGTCCAGGCTCTGTGTAAACTGAGCAAATATCAAGCATCTCGACTCTTGCCTGTTCAATTGATGTTGCCTCAGTTCGTCCCCGGAAGAATCTTGACAATCAGGCATCAAAATCTTCTCGTGGTCATCAGTATCAGACATCTGGTCTTCGTCTCTGCCGCAATATATAAGGGACATGTCATTGTCAGCAGCAGTAAGCTCTCGGAAAGCAAAACCTGCGTCTCTAAGTAACTCCTTAAGCGCAATTAGTTTCCCAGAGGACTGCAAGTCGTACAAACTTTCTTGCATCTGTGGATCTATAAAATCTTCTTTTTTCCTCACCAACCACGGATGTGTACATAATAAACGAAGATAGAGAAGCGCTTTAAAGGCGCCGGTATTGAATGTAGTAGAATCGTCCCCAACTGGTGCATGCTTCATATCAATCATACTATTCAGGGTCGAGATCGATTGTTTACCTAATTGACCAGAGCAAAAGAGAGAGTACAAACGTTTCTGAATAGAGCTCATGGGACATGGAATTCTTGTGATAACTTTCGGAGGAAGCTCGGATAAAACTTGCTCTTTTTCTCTACGTAGAATGAATGGTAATACTTGCTGATGCAATAGCTTTAATTTTTCCAATCCAGCGGCGATTGTGATCGGTGCTGCATCCAAGTTTTGTCCTTTGATTATCGGTTTGGCAAATTCTTTCGAAAATTGGGAAGAAGACCCAAGAAAGGAAGGCATTAAGAAATCAAATGTTGCCCATATCTCTTCCACACTATTCTGTATAGGCGTTCCAGTTAGAATTAGTTTGTGACGGGCTCGCAGTCGCCTTGACGCCTTCGCAGTCGCGGTCTTCGGATTCCTTAGGAGATGACCTTCGTCGAGAACACAATATGTCCAATTCACTTTTGAAAGTGAATCAATATTACTGCGAAGTGTTTCGTAGCTTGCCACAATCAAATTGTATGACTCCATCTCATTATCTAAAAGATACTGACGTTGTTGACCATTGCCCTCTATCGCCAAGGGACGAAAAATTAAATCGCGAGGAAAATAACGATGGATTTCGTTCACCCAATGTCCAACGATACTCGACGGACAAATAACTAAGCTCTTGGTTTCTCTCCTATCAGAATTGTCCATGTGAGCTAAAGATACTGCTACAGTAGCTTGCAATGTTTTCCCCAGCCCCATGGAATCGCAAAGTGCTCCATTAAGGTTTATACGTTGGAGAAATCGTAACCAGGAAAGGCCTTCGTGTTGGTAATTTCTCAGAACTATACCTTTCTCGCGAAGCGCTTGGGCAATTTTCGGATGCATACTACACGGTTTCAATTTTTTCCCGTGAATCAAATGATCGATAACCAAATTGGCCTCTTCGTTGATTTGTGATCCCACAATTGGTACAGAGTCATTGACTAGTGGTGCCACTTGGACTAGAAGAGAAAATGTTCTTGCTGAGGTTTCTGCACAAACTTTGACTGGGTCAATCATCATAGACATGACAATAGGTAGAAGTGCTTTTATATAAGGGCACACGGCGACAGAAAATTCCGCGGAATCTAAAATTTTATGAAGTAGCATGCATGCTCCATATCTTCGGGTATCATTTTCCCCATCTTGGAGGAACAAAATCAAACTTGGAAGAATCTTGTCCAATGCCATCGATATATCAACTGAACACATACGTTGGATGATGGTGGACGCCAAATCCCTGATAACTAATTGTTCGCAGCATCCAAGATTTGTCAGAGAATGCATGTAATCATCAAAAATAGTTGCGGTGACTGAACTCTTTTCATTAAGGAATTGGCAGACAGCTTTCATCATCTTTAGTGCATTCATCGTCGCGTCAAAATCAAGGTGGAGTAATGATTCTCGAAGCGGAAGAAGAAAGGTCCAAACAGCTTCCAGGTCGCGGAGTGAATGCTTCTCTTGCAATTTGCTCACAATCAATCCAATTGTTATGGATGAACTGATGCAGCTAGGTTCTTTACCTGCTATTAGAAGGTTGCAGAGGTTTGCTAGGACTTTCGAAAACGTACGACGAAAACCTTCGAATCGCAGAGAAGATTTGGGTTCATTGGAAATCAGCGTTAAAAACCTCTCGATGTATGAACAAACTGTCATACGCCATTTATCATTGTGTTCATTCTGAACAGACGTCATCAAGGGTCGGACAACGGGAGTCATTTTTTGGGGCAGAAATTGAATGCCCCCTGCGATCAATGTTCCTACAATATGAGAAGAGAGACGCATGGAATCGACCGTAACGTTACATGTGGAATCCTCGTCAAAGAATAGCTCAATTTCTTTCCACAACTCTACAACTGCCGCTCCGGCAACTTTCCCTGAAACTCCTTCCTCGCACACCATTTTATATCCGATGTTTAGAGAGGTTGTGATTGCTTTTATAATGCCAGAATCATGGGTGACATGGAGCGAGTTGTGGTCCAATTTAGATATTGTACCTGTCTCTAATTTGTATAGAAGTCTTTTCTCGCACGCTTCAATCGTCGGTGTAATATGCGCGTTTTCCGATGTATATGAGGATCGATCATCGAATTTGAAAAGTCCTTGAATTAAAAGACAAGTCGCTTCACAGTGAACAATAAACGGAGAATCCATGTGTGAAAAAAGGAAGAACTCCAAGATGTCATTTCGCTTGTTGCATTGTTTGGTCTCTTTTTCTTGTGGCACGGTCTTCCCTGGACGTAGGAATCTCCCTAAACTAGCTGCACGATCCATGATGGGTATGTACGAAGCGATACAAGATGTTTTCAAGATGTTTTCCGAATCAAAATATTTCACCAGCAAATAATAGTGTAGATCATTCTGCAGTGATTCATGTTCACCAAGAACAGTGCAGGAAATCTCCGATAAGACAGCCCAAGTTTCAGAGCACGACAACTTGAGAATCCTCAGATCAGTCGTGTCGTCGCTACTGTTCGCGTTATCTTCTTGAAGCACTTTGCTGGTTTCGAAAGAAAGGTTGTAAATTGCCTTCACGACAACACAAAAGGATGACGCTGCTGTCAATTTGTTACTTTCGTTTTTTTCTGCGTCCACAAGTTCGATACATCTAGTAGAGAGGGAGGCCATCACATCAAGTATTGAGATTTTGACGGAGACGAGCTCGCACTCTAGGAGCTCTTTCGTCCGATTGAAGACCTGCGCCCATGCTTCGAGAAACGAATTACTATTTGGTACGGCGTCCAATACTGCTGAGAGGTTGGTTCGAACAAGTTTCGACAGCAACTTTACGAGGTCATTAATGGAAGAGGAGACTACTCGAATATTCTGAAGGGACTGCCAGAGAGATTGAACCATATGAGGAATGAGATTCTTTTCCCCTCCTCTGGCAGGATCGAAGGAAAACCCTAAAATTTGTGCTGCAACGGCCTGTATATCGTCATTCCTATCCCGCAGCCCAGATACAATGTGATTCATGAAAGATGTTAAAAATTGCGAATCCAATTGACAATCTTCATTGGAGGTTTTTGCTGATGTAACCAAAACCATAGTGTATTTGATAGCAATGAGAACACCATGTCGCACTTCCCACTCGTCGTGATAAAACATTTCGTTCAAAATATGTAGAACCTTTTGTCGAAGGGAATTGGGTGCCATGAGAAACACTACCGCGAAGACTTGTCCGGCCATCTCCCGGATGGGTGCCACCGTTCCACCAGAGATGGCTTCCGCAGATGCCCCCGAAAAATCTCCAAAACGATCCAAAGCCAAAATACACAGTGATCGAGCTAAAATATCTTGTGGCCAGACGCCGAGATCGACATCATCAGACTTCCGGTGATGCACTTTCCATGCTCGTACAAGAGCTAAAATCCCAATTAGTGATCCGTGACGCACATACCAAGATGGATCAAACATTCGAAATATGAGTTCTCCGGCAAGAATGGACTGTGCGTTGCGATGGATGGTAACAGAAGATTCATTTTCAGTGCCCTGGTGTTCCTGCTGCTGTTGCAGTCCCCGTCGCCATATTCCTGTAAGCAATTTCCCGATTGCGAGACGCGTTTTCTTTGATGTTTTTCGGTCTTTTTTTTTTTTCTTGTATGTGCGGGAAGTGCTGGGTGTTTTTTCCTGGTTTAAGTTTGTAGTATTGCTGACAGAACTTTCAACGGCCTCTCGATCAATCAATTGAGTTTTGAGCTGATCACAGTCCGTAGTGTGATCAGCTAGTATAGTCGACAGACCGATGCGTCTAGTCAGTATTCTTCTTTGCATCTCAAGTCGCATCTCACAAAATTTTGCATCACCTTGGTGGCACTGATCCAGTAATTCTAATTCATCGTCGTATTCTTCTGTCTGATATCTGGATTCGGCGGTCGCAACAAGCAGTTGCCCATTCGCCAAAATGTTCGTGACATTTCCCTCGAGGTCTGAAATCTTTAGCGAAGTCGAGTCGTTGCCATCAATTCCGTTTGTATTATCTGTTGTGGCAGACAGGCCGGAATGGCTATTGGTCCTCTGCGACAAAAACGATTCTTGATCTGCAATGGACAAGTGTTGCGCCACACCCTCCATCGCTATGCCAGCGTTGGATCGCGTGTTCCACTCGGGAGAAACCAAAAAGCCCTGCAATCGTCCAAGAATTTCCCATAGAATCAAAGGAGACACAGAAACTGTTATTTTCTTCAGATGAGTGACCGCTATCCTGGTATGGTCTGCTGATCCCTCTTCAATGAGTTTTAATAGGCGGCGAGTATGGGGAGTCAACAGAGGTCTCCTGCTATCAGTCAAGGCTGTCTCATCCTTCCGGTTTGAGGTATTCATGGCATCATCGGAGCTTGTCACCGGCATGTTCCTTCGACTGCCTTCAATATTCGAATCTGGTATGTCACTTCCCGTTTCATTTTTGCTCCCCCATGGCGGATATGGCGAGGAGATTGATTAGTTTTTGCCCTTCATGGGTGATAAGAACTGACTTATGAGAGTGTTGTGAGCGACGGACAGACACAAGATGACAAAGACTTCGAACGACTTGCTCAGCAAAAGCACTCCCCCCGTGCAAACATGCTGCACCCCACCATGCCAATAAGTAGTAAAGTACTACAGTAAACAAGTGCCCAACGCAAAACAATGACAATTGCTAAATAGAATGCAAAATTTGCCAAACGAACAAACAACCAATGGACCCAACCCCAAGAATCAGCAACCACAAACTGCACGAGATTACGTGTACTCTTAAGTGTGTATGAACATTGAAATTATGATTAGAATTATTCGAAGATTACCGGGCGCGTTCACGAGAATTCCGGAGTTTGTAATATAATCGGCGAGTAGCTCACTTTTTGCTTGTATTCACGCGCGGTTGAAT